CCATACAAGGAAAGACTAAAGATTAGAGCTGCTCAGCTCAGAAAAGAGACTAGGGGGAAGTAATAGAGGTCCATAAAATCCTGAATGGTGAGGGGAAAAAGGGACTAGAAAAGTGTTATTTACCCTTTCCCACAACATAAAAACCTAGGGTCACCTGATAAAATTATTAGGCAGCAGGCTTAATACAAACAAGAGGAAACACTTTCCCACAACTCTCAACTAACCTTGGAACTCATTGCTGTGGGATGTGGTGTTGGCCAAAAGTATAAGTGGATTAAAAAAAAAAGAACACGTGCATAAAACTGGAACTATACAGTGAAGGAACAGATCCATGATGACAGTTAACTAAGGGTAAATATAAAAAAAATTGAATTATAGAAGAAATGCTACTTTATTTATAGTATGTGATCTCAAAGACTACTGTAATATATATGCACAAGATAGCAGAGCTTGTTGAAACTTCACTTTTGAGTGCTTAATAGACTTTGTATGGAATTCTATTTAATTTCATATTAGTCAACTAATTTCTACAGTTATATGCCTACATCCTCTGCTTTATTGGGGCCAGCACTTTGTAGCATTGAGTCATTCAGTAGCAAGCACCCATCTGGGAATTCTCTATCTTTTTTCATCTAAAAAAATAAAACTCCTCACATTTTGTTCTCTGTCATGTAAACTCACTTCTTAATTTTTTTTAGATGAAAAAAGATAAAGAGAGAATTCCCAGATGAGTGCTTGCTACTGAACGACTCAATGCTACAAAGTACTGGCCCCAATAAAGCAGAGGATGTAGGCATATATTATCTTTAAACACATGATTAGTCCCATTTAAATACAACTGAAGTCACTGCTTCAAGTTAAGCATGTGCTTAAGTGTTTTGCTGGGTCAGAGCCAGAGTGTTCAGCACCCTGCAAGACTGAGCCAATAATGGTTTCAAGGCAGTGTACACATACTAGTGGAAGGCTGTATAGAACATAGCAAGAACAAAAGGTGCCAAAAATACACTACTGCTGTCAGCAACTGTAGAAACATGGCATGAGCAGGACTAAAATGGAAATTAGGTCTGGTTCTGGGAGATAAATATTCCAGGGGAAATTTGGAATGGATTAGGCAAAGTTCAGCTCTTCATGCAAAAAATACTCTGTGTAAAAGACTAGCTAAGCACGAAGTCTGGAAGATGCACCAAATTTGAATAAGAAGTTTGTTTCTGATGAATCTCAATCCAGATAACTTCTCCAATATCTTCCACTGTTCGGTCCAATTTGAAGAAAATCTTTTGTTCCTAACTTCTAGTCATCCAGGGCCAGTGAACAGAGATTCTGAAGGACTAGAAGCTTGTTATACAGCTTGTGGTATATGTAGAGAGATTAGTACAAGCAGCACAGAAACATCCCCAAAACATGGCCAAACGGAATCACAGGATGGTTCACTCATTCCAACCATTGTACCAACAGTTGTCGTCACATCAACAATTATCACTACTGCAGGGTACATCTACATGGCAATAAAAAACCCACAGCACTGAGTCTCAGAGCTCAGGTCAACTGATTCGAGCTCGCAGGGCTCAGACTCTGGGGCTAAAAATCACAATGTAGACATTTTGAGCTTGGGCTGGAGCCTGGGCTCTGAGACCCACCCCCCTTGCAGGGTCTCTACATTGCAATTTTATAGCCCCGCAAACCCAAGTCAGCTGACCTGGGCCAGCCACAGCTATGTCGCAGATCTTTTAGCACAACGTAGATGTACCCATAGAGATCTTCTCTAGTTCTGACTCAGATAAAGAACCATTCAAAAATGGAAATAAAACCAAGAAAATTATTGGGAACCATTGAGAACAGTTCAGTTCCAATGGGTTTGAAGGTATGAACAAATAAATAAAAAAGCAACAAATGGTATTTGCTGACCTTCCAGGCTGACTGGTGAGGATAAGTGGTAACCATAAGTCTGGATTGGTGGTAACAGTCTCAGAACCAGTTTACACAAAAATGTCACTATGTGTTTTTCTTTAAACCTATAAAAGTGCCATCCCCTTAGCATCAGTGATTACAATAAATTATACCATACATATTTTATGAGCTATCAAAACAAATTACCAAAGGAACCAGAATGAATCCAAAGAGCTTTTCCAGGCTGAGATAAATAATAATTTATGCTAATTTAAAATATAATCTTTCTAAAAAGAAAGTATTTCAATACATTAAATGTTGAGACAAAATGTAAAACTCCAAGGAATCCAAGTTCAGGATGACACTCCATCCTTAGCAAATGGTATTATGCATTTTGGAAGACAACAAAAGAGGTACAACAGCATTAAGTTAAGGACAGAGTGTTAATCTAATATTGAATATCCTGGCTCTTGTTATCATGCACCACAAATTTGTTATTTGTGTACTGTAGTTTGTAAGAGAAAACTGGATTTGCTATAAGAAATTTTCAAGTAGCTATCTAATTGCATTTAGGGTTATGACATTCAGAGAGGTTTAGGGTTGTCAGAACCTCCACAGACTGTACCCACAGAAGTGTTCAGCAAATTTGAATTTTTTCATTTTCAGTATTCTGTAAAATTTCTTAAATTTGTATTCTTAGATTTACTGTAACTTAAAATTGTAGTGCAGCATTCTAATAATTACTTGATGGGTGAAAGGAAAGATTTTACAGTTCCAAGTATGTGTTTATCAAAGGCCATTTGAAGGTAATTTTTAGAATGTTAATGTAAAATTAAGAAGTTGGGTTAATTTTTTTAAAGCCAATCTATAGCTGTCTGATTACAGCTGTTTAAAAACATTTAATGTTTTTAACCCCCTAAATATTATAAGCACCTCAAATAGCCCCAAGCACACAAACCTATATTTCCAAACACTGTCTGCCTACACAAAAAGCAAGGAAATTCATAGTTAAGGTTACCAAGTCCATCCTTAACTTACTTTGCTGTAACCAAGTATTGCAGCTCATAAGTAGTATAGGATCACCCACTGTTCTGAGGACTCTGATAGGATCATATGATCAGCAATATCTAGGCACAATAAGATGTTTTTCAGATGGAATAAACTCTGAATTTCCTTGTCGAAGTCAGCTATTTAATAAATATTTTATAGAAACCTTTATGAATTCAATACTATTAAAACATCCCCCTTTTGGAGAGGTAAGCTGCAAAGCTTTTATAAATAGTTGAGTATTTTAAGATTCCAAATTGCTAACTTTTAAACAAAATATTGGAAGAGCAATTTCTCCTTTACTCACTTACCAAGACCCTATTCAGGGTCTTCCAAGTCAGTGATAATGCAGGAAATGCTGGTTTTAGACAACTATTTTCAAGCTCTTTCAGGACAAAACAAAACCCTAAACTTGGGTTCTTGGCAAGTAAACAGATGTTTTTCAAATAGCTGTGTTCAAATTGTAAGTGCATATGAACTTAAGGTCTACACAAACCATTTAATATCCCAAATCAATGTATTTCAAACTGTCAAAAGCTCTGCAATTCACCTTACAAGTGACCTGTTGACATGAACTGTATGCTACACAAACCCCAATAATATGAAAATATGTATTAGAGAATATTAACAGTATTTAGAAAACAAATCCATAGCCATCTGCATTTATATTCTCTGCAGTCTGAAGTCAGAGGATAACTTTCTTCTGCATGAATCGGCATTAAAAAGTAGCAGCAACAATGTATAATCAATTAGTAACATTTCAGAGGTTTCCATTTTGTATTCCAATTAACAGAAGTGCTAAACTAGTTGTAAAAGTGAATTATGAATCAATTTGCATAAGCCACTCTTTCTGTCAAAGACACCATTTTTGTGACTATGGGTTTAGAGCTTTGATTGTTCGTGGAAAAACAGGAACAAGCTAGGAACTTATACCAATTTCAAGTTTTACTTTGTATTTGAAACATTACATTACCAGCCTGGAAAAAGGAGATTAAATTATAGGTAGGTCAATTAAACAACATATAGCACTGTAGCCAGTTGGCCTTATAGTATACCTATACATAATGATACACTCCTTCTACATATTTAAATTTTTATTGTTGTGTGTATATTTTCATTCTCACCACTTTCAGCAAGTAGTGAAAAGAGTAAGATTATATGCAGCATTTAAAGCAAGTTGTTGGTGCATGACAGCTGGCATTAAAGAATAGGACAATTCATATGCCAAACTATATCCAATATTAGGAAATAGACAATCTGTAACAACATTTTATTTCAAGGAACACTTATCTGGTGGGCCAATTATGGTAGTTTTCATTTCAATCCTTACCTGCAGGAACTATGCAAAGAACCCACAACTTCCAGTACATGGTTAGAGCTACAGGAGAAAGCACAAGCATGCTGAAGTAGCGTGCTTGCAAGACAGTGTACCACTCATTTGGGGGAAATTAATGCTCATGTAGGTGGCTTGATATTAGGAAAGATGTGAAATTGGTCAGTGAAAGTAAATTTTGACTACTATTTGGGACAGGTTGGGTTGCCTTTCTAACAAACAGCTGCGGATCACATAGAATAGATGGAGCTCTGGTGTAACTCTGGTTTACAGAAAAAAACTGTTTCCTGATTTTGTAGATGTTTACATTTTTTCAAACTACTGAATTCTGCAAGAATCACGAGGTTCAGGACCCACCCTCCATTTGAAGATCTTATCACAGAACCCTGAGGCAGTGAAGGCCCAAGATGAACACCTGCAAGCCTCTGTTCTCAGCATCATAAAAACAATTTATTTTAAAGTTCAAGGGGCAGGTCCTTGACACTCATGTTCAAAGTATCTTATAAATGCAGTCTGAAATGTGTGTCTGGAATATTTCATATTAGCAGCAATCTAAGCTGGTCTGCAATAGCACATCTTAAAAGATATCATCTAACTTCTTTATGTAATGAAATATAAAACAAAAAGTGACACCAAAAGAGCCATACCCATTTAAAACAATCTCTCTTCTACCCTCCATTCCTCTTTTGTCAGTTACAGATATGCCACCTTCTAGAGTTTAGGCGTTGCCTACCTTTCTCCTTTGAGATAAACTGAGGGCAGCAAAGTCATTAAACAAGGATGAAGCCGGTGAAGTCAGTGGGTCTGTAAAAGAATGTTAGAAACATCGTTACTACTATATATTATCAGCACAAACTATTTAAAAAAAACTCTTCAAATAATTTTAAATGCAACTGGAAAAAGGCAAAAAAAGGTTTCTTATTCATCCAGAATTAAAGCTAATTTTAAAGTCAGAACTGCTAAAAGCATAGCAGTTCATTAGATTGTGCATGGGTACACAATTAAATGGCACTTCTTAGCAGAATTTAAAAAGCTACCCATTGCCAGTTTAAATAATTATGTGCTGTACTCCATACCACTTAATTGTACAAATGTTATGGATGTTATCTGTTTTGCCAACTTTTTATTTAGAAATTTAATCAGGACCCAGAGGCAGTCAAGATGAAGATTTTACAAGTAAATTATTATTTCTCCCTGTCCTTACACTTCACCTCCAGGTCATAAGTATCATAATCTGGAACTCAATCACTACAGTCACCATTTAAAAAGGAAACTCCAGATTAAGCATAGATTAAAAATATGGATGTCTTCTAATTGCCTGGTGGATGACATCTGCTAACACACTAATGTTTAAAAATGTTTTCTGTAAACCCGAATCTCTTTGACCATGGTCAGTATGCCTTCAAAATGCAGTTCTATTCTGAAGTGTGCCTCAAAAAGGGAACTGCAAATTTCTCTCTCAATAATTTCTTATCAAGTCTGTTCAGTTTACACAGCCAGTCTAGAAAACCAAAAGTCAGTCTGTTTTTCCCTCCTCATGTATTGCCACCAATAGTGGATATTTTACAGATAAAACATAATCTCATTTACACCAGCAAAACTCCACGGTCTTGAACAATTAATTGTTTTCAACTGGAGCATAGAAGTATAACTCAGGACAAAACCTGTTCTGTAAAATAATTATTACTAGAAATGAAGTACAAGGAGGAAACAGCCACCTGACTTTCAAATCTCAGGTTGCATTTGCAGGATAAGTCCATGGTACCCTCACATCTTGAATACTGCACACAGATATGGTCGTCCCATCTCAAAAAAACAAAACAAAAAAAACCCCATACTGGAATTGGAAAAGTCTCAGAAAAGGGCAACAAAAATGATTAGGGGTATGGAACGATTTCCATATGAGGAGAGATTAATAAAACTGGGACTTTTCAGCTTGGAAAAGAGAGGACTAACAGGGGATGTGTTTGTGGTCTATAAAATCATGACTGGTGTGGAGAAAGTAAATAAGGTAGTGTTACTCCTTCTCATACCACAAGAAGTAGGGGTCACCGAGTGAAATTAATAGGCAGCAGGTTTAAAACAAACAAAAGGAAATATTTCTTCACACAATGCAGAGTCAACCTATGGAACTCCTTGCCAGAGGATGTTGTTAAGGCCAAGACTATAACAGGGTTCAAAAAAGAACTAGATAAATTCATGGAGGGTAGGTCCTTCAGTGGCTATTAGCCAGGATGGGCAGGGATGGTGTCCCTAGCCTCTGTTTGCCAGAAGCGGGGAATGAGTCACTTGATTCCCTGTTCTGTTCATTCCCTCTGACAAGTGAATTTGCTATGGAATCTAACACACACACGGAGCTCCAGAACACCACTTTTGTAGCCCCTTTCAGAGGAGGGCCATATTTAAATGTATGTTTTTGCCAAATGGAAGTGCGAGCCAATTCTTAAAGAAGTTTAATATGGAGATATGACTAAGCAGATCATCTGAAGAAATCTAAAGTGTTATATTCTAAGTAGTAACTAAAAAGACTATTGTGACTCTCAGTGGAGTTAAACATTAAAATTGCTCAAGTTAAAAGTAAAAATATTTTCCTTAACTGACAGCATTTCAAACAACTTGGGATCTTCCAGACATTGACATAACCAATAATGATTTTTAAGTAGAAAATGCATTAGCAGCTTCATAACACAAAGATAGGCCTACAAAATATAGCCATTTTTGTATGGATGGAAGGGATGTTCCCAAGTAATATGAAACACGAAAGTGGGAAAGGGGCAAGGTATTACTTAAAACATGCTGTGTAGAAATTTTAAATTCCAAGCTCCAAGATATTTGGCATATGCCACAGAACTCAAGATCCAAAATTGATTAGATTCTGTTAGTGCCACATTTCTGTCCTCTGTTACCAGGAATTTCATATCAAATAGCCTGTTATACTTTGGCTGCGGGGGAAAAAAGTGAAAAACATGAGGTGATAAACTTAGTTCGGTTTGTAAATAAAACAGACAAAAATGTGTGAATGTGTATGCACATATCCAAAATTTAAAAAGTTACATATGTAATTCCATTTCACTTTTTCAAACAACTTTTTTTTAGTAAGAGGCATCCAAAAAGGATTATTGAATTGATGCTATATAAACAGTTTCTAAAGCTAACTATCAGGGCTTTATAGTAGACATCCAAATAAGTATTTTACTTGATATAACTGAGCAGTAGGACAAATTTAATAAGTTTTTCCCTTTAAAATGAAAGGCAAACAGAGTTAGAAAGTTCACTAGTAATTTGGTTTGGAATATACAGTAATAAAAAAAAATTGAACAACACAAATAAAGTTCTATCACCTTGAAATCAGATTAAAGGGAGGACTAACTCCCTTGAAACTATTTTTTTCCATAGGGTTAGCTTTTGAACATACCTTTAAACATATTTCTTTAAAAGTTCTTACCATGGCCTGCATACTGCTTGGCACTGTCATTGAGAAGGCTAGGGGAACTGCTGCTATTTGTCATCCTCTGCAAAAAGTGAAAAACAAAATTGCATGAATAAAATAAAGCTATTAAGGCTGAAGACATCTGAGCTAATATGAAGACTTTATTAATACTAATTAGAAGATTAACATCCTGATGGCAATTGTCTCAGGGTAAAAAGAGGATATGTGCTTATTTCCAATCTAATAAATTGCTCTACACAGATTCTGACTGGTAGTGAACAAAAAACGTTGAGCAAATGAGAGAAAACAATTCTAATGAAAACCACACAGCACAAAACAATTGTATATTAAAAACAGCATTATCTACATCAACTACTTATAGATTAGGAAGCCCTATTGCACCTAAGGTTCTCCTCCTTTTTCCTATAGTTTCTCAAAATGTTAGAGAAGGCTGTAGCTTTTATTACTTGAAGATTCCTTAATGCTGCACTCCCAGGACAACAACTCCTCCCCACATTCTATGCCACTATCACCATACGAGACTCTTCCCCTGTGGAGAACTGTCAAATCAGTATAGCATTTGGTGGCATGTTTTGAATGATGGAACCCAGATAATTATCAAGCATAGTGGGGTTTTCAGGAAAACTATATGATTCTTGTAGCTGAGCAACATGTTGAAAGGCCAGCAATGGTTCTCTTCAACTCTTTCAACCATTGTCAGGCTGAGCCCCGCTGGTATGCAGTAAGGACAGGAATCTTGCTAAGCAAGAACTTCACCCCAACTCAGCTCTTTGGCCACATAGGTCAATATTTTCAGAGTAGGGCCTAACACAAAGGGAAGAAGACAAATGGCAGTTTGAGAGCTGCCTCCTCCCTGCACTGTTGTTAGATATACATCTGCAATGTGAAAAGATTCTCACCACTTTCCATAAAACAACTGACATTAGAAGTTCCTGCAGAACTTTAATACTCACTTCACCAAAAACATACAAATGCTTCGATTATATTAAAGAAGAATGGAAACAGGTTTTGTAAAGTAAGTACAGTAAGGACCTCAGAGTTACAAACACTTCAGGAATGGAGGTTGTTGGTAACTCTGAAATGTTCGTAACTGAACAAAATGTTATGGTTGTTCTTTCAAAAGTTTACAATTGAACATTGATTTAATACAGCTTTGAAACTTTACTAGGAAGAAAAATATTTAACACGATACTATACGGCAGGGGTCAGCAACCTTTCAGAAGTGGTGTACCGAGTCTTCATTTATTCACTCTAATTTAAGGTTTCGCGTACCAGTCATATATTTTAACTTTTTAGGTCTCTTTCTGTAAGTCTATAATATATAATTAAACTATTGTTGTATGTAAAGTAAATAAGGTTTTTAAAATGTTTAAGAAGTTTCATTTAAAATTAAATTAAAATGCAGAGCCCCCCCAGACCAGTGGCCAGGACCCGGGCAGTGTGAGTGCCACTGAAAATCAGCTCACGTGCCGCCTTCACCACACGTGCCATAGGTTGCCTACCCCTGCTATACGGTATCTGCTTTTTTTGGGGGGGGGGGGGGGGGGGGGGGTCCGCTGCTGCCTGATTGCGTACTTCCAGTTCCAAATGAGGTGTGTGGCTGACCGGTCAGTTTGTAACTCTGGTGCTCGCAACTCTGAAGTTCTACTGTAAGACAAGTTTTTAAAACTAACTTATGCGTATGATGCCATAAAAAGAATGGACAAAATAAACACTAAATTATAGAGTACTTAGTAAAACCATTTAGGCACGTTACCAGATAGCAAGTTTAGATGTAACCCTCTCAATGAGCTCAGTCAGTTGCCATGCTAATCTCACTCAATTCCACCTACTGCATTCTGTTGGGATGCTACAGCATCAAACATTCTGTTGTCATGGGACCTATTATGTTACTACCCCTTCCCCCACTCCATCCCTATGAATCTCCACACACATACCCACCTAACCTCTGTCAAGCTGTCCTGCAGTGGTTCAAGTGTATGAGTACCCACCTCAGTGAACAGGCACAAACCCCAAATTGGTTGTGACTTCTATACTTAGATTTCACCAACCAAATATCAAGTGTAAACTCCTCAGGCACTATAACAGCCTTAACATGGAGTCACATCCAGTCCCCTCTCTGTCTTGCCACACAGATAAGCCTGCCTTTGTCATAGACGGTCCCTTACATAATGAAACAGCAATATTCAGGTTATTCCCCATCCCAACAGACCAAACACTCACACCAGGTTAATTGCACTTTAGATTTCGCACCAAAGACGAGGCTTGTAGCCAATCCCATAATCAACTATCTAAAGATTTATTAAATAGGAAGAGAAAGCAAGAGAATCATTTACAAGGTTAAAACATATATACACAAACAAGTTACAGTCTTAAGTTTCAAAAGGTAATAGAAGCTTCTATAATAAGCAAGCTCTAGCTGTCCTTTAGGGCTAACCCAGGCTAAGCAGCTGGGGATCCCTTGTTTATGCCTAGAAACCTTGCCCCCATAGTCCAAGCAGCAAATGAAATACAGTTCTTCCTTGTTAGGAGCTTTTATTCCCTTCCCCCCCTTCTCCTTTGAGCTGCAGATTCAGCTGATGGAGGAATTCACTTGCAACACTCATCTTTATTGGGGAGTGGAGGGAGGAGAGAGAAGAGTAAACAACAGTCTTTTGTCCTCTTTAATGGTCTACTCTAGTCCATCTTGTGTCAATGGACCTTCTTTGTCAGACAGGACATAACACCTTCTGCTGGAGACCAGCATTTTGCAGTAGTTAAAGTCTCTCTCCTGTCTGGTGATTTACACAGTGAAAGAGGCTTACAATACACCTACTTAAATATTACTTTACAATATGGGATACAGATGTTATAAGTGAGGCTACATCTACACTTGCAGATGTAGAGCGCCGGGAGTTAAACCAGCCCTCAGACAGCAGCAGGGAAAGCGCTGCTATGTGTTCACACTGTGCTCCTTGTGACTGTGGAGCATGTCCACATTAGCAGCTCTTGCAATGCCACAGAGAGCAGTACATTGTGGTAGCTATCCCAGTGTGCAAGTGGCTGCAGCATGCTTTGGAAAGGGTTTGCAATGCCTAATAGGGCAGGCACAGCATCACATGATGCAGGTTTCCCAATCCCATTGTTCCATAGGCATCCTACTAGATTGCCAGCTGCTTTTCACATGAGGGGCTGGGAAGTGAAGTGTGTTGTGTGTATGTGGGGGGGAGAGAGACTATTTTGGGGGGCAGAGAGTGTGTCAGCATGCTATCTTGTAAGTTCAGACAGCAGCAGGGGGAAGGGGGAACCCGACATCAGCCCCCACCCTCCCGCTCGCACGCGCTCTCGCTCTCTCTCACTCTCCTCTGCAGCAGGAGCATTCCACAGTAATGGTTTGCTTTGTGTCCTAGAGCAGGTAAGCATGTGTGCTGTCAGAAACGAGCTTTGAAAGGGGATATCCTCATGCCTGCAGCCAAGTTCAAAACAATGACCAGAGTGGCCACTTGACTTCAGGGGATTATGGGACATTTCTGGAGGCCAATCACAGTGCAGTAATGCAACACGTCATCTAGACTGACACCTCAGCGTTCCAGCCCGGGCACAGGAAGCTCTATGCTTCTCGTGGAGGTGGATTACCGGGAACGCTCCAGCTGCAGAATCCAGGCGCTCTAAGTGCCTTGCCAGTGTGGACACCTCAGGAGTTATGGACCCTGGGGCTGATTTAATGCACTCTAACTTGCAAGTGTAGACAAGGCCTGAGATTAATGCATGCAGCAACTCACAAGCATTCAAACACAGTCTAACCTCTGAACACATTCTTATCATTCTAATACCTATTATTAATATTACCTAATACTAATACACAGGTGAACCAGGCTGATTTCAGTTAAGTTTTTGCCAGAATTCAATTGCGGCATGGAGACCTTGGGATGAGCTGGCATCTGGTCTACCAGTGTCACCACCTCTTTCAAGACCTTTGATTAAACAAGCTGCTGGTAATGGTTTTGATTCTGTGGGTATATCGTATTGCTTAAGTCCAACTCACAATAAAGGGTTATTAGTCAGTGACAGCCAACTGCTTACCATAGACTAACGTCCGTAATGAACTGATAAAATGGATTTATCACCACAGTATCAGGCACACTTTGCAGGCTTTGGACTAAGAGTTGACTTATTTCCTAAATACAGAAAACATGACACCTGTCCTTCTACCTCCACCTCAAAAGCAACAACATTACAAGGACACAGATAGAGAAAATCTGACCAGTAATGTAATACTTCAGACATTCTTACTTAACACTTTTCAGCTTCACTCAAAATTGCTTTTAGCAAGCTGAGAAATATCTCCTTTTCCTGTATTAGGTGATCCTTCTAATTCTGTCTTAGCTAGTGTATATAATTCTAGTGTCTAAAGTACAATTCCTTCCACCATAAATTACTTTAGGTGTAGCAATGGGATTTATACGATCCAATGATACAGAATGCAAAAGCCAAATGCTGTAGAAAGAGCCAGATTTTTGTTTGATAGTCTATGTAATGTAGTACCTGGTACCAAGCCTTGGCTTGATCAATCCTTTTCTACCACCTAGTTCAACTGGTTAGTTTCAGCATCTTAGTTCTTGGAATTGGGTATGAACTGAACACAACAGCCATACCAGTCTTCTGGTAAGTAACAAAACAATATTGACTTCCTTCTTGAAGTGCACAACAGATGAGCCCCACTGACGGCTGAATTTCTGGATCAATCGCCACTCTGGTATCTCATAGAATATCAGGGTTGGAAGGGACCTCAAGAGGTCATCTAGTCCAACCCCCTGGCTCAAAGCAGGACCCATACCCAGACAGATTTTTGCCCCAGATCCCTAAATGGCCCCCTCAAGAATTGAACTCACAACCCTGGGTTTAGCAGGCGAATGCTCAAACCTCCTTTAGATTTGTCTCTCCTAATGGAATTGGGCCAGTGGTATGCCTCAGGGCTGACTGATTAAGCATCCACCTGTGTAAGCCATATGAGGTGCACCCTGGCTTTGCTGAAACTCATTAATGGAATGCAAGATATCATCTGTACCCTCTGTGTGAACA